TGAGCATAATGCTTTGAATTTTTTAGACAAAATATTTTGCATTTACTAAAAATCGTCTTGATCAAGTTCCGTGCTTAAACCATAAAAAAATGACGCGATCCATATTTTTCGAAGTAAATTAAAGGCTTTTTTTTCTTTTTTTATGAGTGCGGGATCAATCGAGATGAGTAGCTCGTCGAGCTGGAGAATTGATTAGGAATACGTGTTCTAATGCCACGAGTTTTACGCCTAAGTAGACGATGTTGGTTTGTCTTTGTTACAAAACCACTTAACGCAATATTGAAACATCAACCACTTAACACACTATATCTTTCCGACGAACACGATGTCGCGTTTTGGCAATTAACTCAATAATACAAAGCAATTTTATAAGTAGAAGAGGATGTTGAACGATCGTAATTCCCATTACTTGAGATTGTGGGCACTATTACTTCTGCAAACCACATATTCTCTATTGTCTTTGCATACTTTCAATCTGAGAAGGCAGAAAACTTTGTGAGGGTGTTGAGGACCTTGGTGGAGAAGATGGTAGGGAGTTCTGGTCTCAATTTTCAGATATTCGACCATAAGATGTCCAATATTTTGACAAACCCTCGACATGAGCATGATATTTAAATTGCTTGTTTAAGATCGACATGTCGAGCATTTGCCTTACACAATCGATCTGCAAATGTTGACTAACCATCCAAAAAATCGACATTTGCAGGTCGATTTTGTGGGTTCAACAGTTTTCAACAAAATTATGCATTAAATCCCTAAAACATCAATTCTTCAACATAATTACAAAAGTACATCCTCATGGAGACTTGTTAATTACATTTTAGCAACAAAAACCTCTGAAAATATCAATTTTGACAAAATCCTTTCGGTTTTTTATTGATTGACGATTTGAATATCTTACCTACTTGGGCGTCAGTGTTGGATTGACCATGGCTTTGCTATGAAGGGTTGCTCACTTTCTGAGGCGGGGCCGGTTGGGTGTCGGGTTTGCCGTGGCTTCAAGGGTGAATGGTTTTTTCTTCTTTTATATATACTTTGATCTTGCAATTGTTCCCGTTTCATCTTTTTTTTTTTTTTTCTGGGTCTTGATTTTTTTTTTTGTTAAATATAGTTTGCACCCCTAAAGTATATCATCTGTACACTTACCCCCTTAAAGTATCATTTGTAACACTTATCCTCTCAAACACAATTTAATTTGCATTTTAATTTCTAATACCTTAAAATTTTCTCTTTTATTGAAATGAATAACTAAAACATAATTAAATTATACAACTAAAATTTTCTATTGAAAAATGCTATATTTAAAAATTTAAAAATATTATCTTGCATTGGCTACATATTTAATAGATATCATCTAATTATTATTGGACCAATTAATCGAATATATTCATATCGATAAATTTTAAGAAATCAATACATAACTAATAGTAAACCTAAGTATTTAAATTTATTTTAGTTCATTAATTACTTAAAATATATTTTCGTTCATTATTACACAATATATATTTTACTTCTCACTAATTTCCAATAAAACAATTTAGTTATTTTTCAGTTTTAAATGATTCAGTACTAATTATGTTTATTACGTTTTAAATTTTGAAATATAAAATAATTGATGTTGAGGGGTAAGTATTACATAGACTATACTTCGCGTGCGCAAAATGTATGTAACTTCCTTTTTAGTGTTTTTTGTGTTCTTTCTTTTAGTTGGTCTACCAATTAGGTGAACTATATTTCGAAATCTGCAACCTACTCTTCATTTCAATTAAAAAATAAGGGCTATGTGACAAACACCCTTCATTGGTTTTTTACTTCTTGATAAATCCAAATTTTATTTCAATTTTTGACATAAACCCAAATGACACAAACTACCCAAAATGCCCTAACTAATCTCATTAAATGCAGATTACCTCCATTTAGGATTTTTTGGATTTCTTTATTTTTTATATTTATTTTAATTTTGATTGGTTTTTATTTTCTATTTTTATTTTGAATGGGTGTTTTTCTTATTTATATTTTTCATTTTTTTCATTTTAATTTTTTTAAATGGTTTTATCTTATTTTAAGTTTTTTGTTTCATTTTTTTAATTTCGTTTTTTTTCAAATCGTCTTTTCGATATTTTTTTTCCGGAAAAAAATGTTTTATTTAATTTTTTTTATTTTGATTAAAAAACTAAATATCTTTTGTTTTTTTTTCAATGTTTTATTAAATAATATTTTTTTTAATTTTTTTACCAGGTTATCAAATTGAAATTCGCTACATATCGAAATCCACTATAAATTTATCGAAATCAACTATGAAATTAACATAATTCAAATAAAATTTATCGAATTCCACTATAAATTTATCGGAAATCAACTATAAAATTAACATAATTCAAATAAAATTAACGTAATCACACTATGAAATTAATGTAATTAACTACAAAACTTCCGCAATCAACATCATCTAATGTAGATAAGCAAATCATCGGTACTAAAGAAACACAATGTGTTTTGCGAGAAGAAAATACAAATAGTTTTAACAATTCTAACAAAACTACTACTATTACTCTGGTTTTTTTTTTTTAAAGACACCAACAAACACCATCACCACTAACAAATAATAGAGTTACCCGAGCATCACGCAACCTAATCACCCTTGTGCCATCGCCGTCTATTCAAAAACCTAACAAAAAGAAAAGGAGACAACAACATGTCAATTTAATCCATACGAAAAAAAATCATTCTGAAAAAAAAATCATTCTGAAAGCAAAAACCACTACAAAATTACCCTAATCAACAAAAAAAAATTCTTTTTTCGAAGACAAAATCCACTCAAATTATATCGAAATCCACTAATAACTTACCGAGATCAACTAGAAATTAACGAAATTCACTAATATTAACAAAATCCACTACTATTAAGATCATAAAAAACCAATATAAAATATAGAAAACCACTAAAATTTTAACGTAATTCACCACGAAATTAACCTAATCCAGTACAAAAAAAATCCTCTTTTCAAAGACAAAATCCACTTAAATTACATCGAAATCAACTAAAAACTTACCGAAAATCAACTAGAAAGTAACGAAATCCACTAATATTAACGAAATCGACTACTATTAAGCTCATCAAAAACCACTATAAAATATAAAAATCACTAATATATTAACGTAATCTACTACGAAATTAACCTAATCCACTAAAAAAATCCCCTTTTTAAAGACAATCCACTCTAATTATAACGAAAACCACTAAAAATTTACCGAAATCAACTAGAAATTAACAAAATCTACTAATTTAAGAAAATCATTCATTTTTTTTATGTTGTTGTCCTAAAATTCTAATAGAATGCCTAGTCGCTAACTAATTTAAAAAGCAAATTAACGTTTTTTTTCTTTATCCAAAATTGAAAATTACTCACAGTGAGATGATGCACACACACAATAACACACATAAAAAATGAATTTTATGCAATATATTCTTGAATAAATTTCATACATATCCTAGGAAATTCACATCTTATGACCCCAATCATCACATACAAGAAACGATCTGCCAATTCAAACAGAGTTCATAAACACGGATCGACAATTCAAGCATAAGTTAACAAAGAGTGAAATTACGATGATGGCCGCCGATCCAGTCTCCAATTCTTTCGCCGACGACTTTCTCTGAAGATGGCGAATCTTTTGTCGAAGAAGATGTCGCCTGCGTCACCTCTATGCACGGAAAAAAAATTATCGACAACAACGACGACCTCAAGTTTGATTTGGAAGACCGTCATTGAGTTGGATTTAGATCCGAGAATAATTCCTAATCGGCTTGATGGGCGGGGTAACGGCACGGTGATGAGAGACCGAGACATGGAGGCGTTGGTTGTGCAGAGAAGGAAGATAGAAGAGAAAGAGGACGGGGTAGGGATGGCGGTGATGAGAGAAAGGGGCGGCGGTGATGAGAGAAAGAGATATGGGAGCGTGGGATTGAAGAGAAGGAAGAGAGGAGAGAAATTAAAGAAGAAAAATAAAAGACGGACGGCCAGTGGTTAGTAATTAGGGTAAAAAAAAATGATATTATAGGAAATTTGTATTATTTATGGCTGAATAATAATATTTTTTTGGATTTATCTCAATAAGATGAAATTTTTTTGGACCCATCTTAATTGCACATGTCTAGTGAGGGGATTTTGTCGTTTTGTGTAATCTTTATATATAAAAGAAAGGTTTTTCCCCGAAATCCTAACCCCATTTTAGTAGAATATTGGTAACCCTAAGGGCATATTTGTACTCTTATATCTCGATCGGTTTTTACTAGAGCAGTTTTCCAGTCAGTTTTCACACGATTGATTACCCACATAATCTTCCCACTTTCCACTTATTCTCAACTTCCTATGTATTTAACAGTAATTATCGCCCTCAATTTTGAAATCGATTAAATAAAAAACAAAGGTGGTGTTTGCAAATGATTATTTAAAAAGCAGAAGTTAGTGATTGTGATTTAGGTGGTGTTTGCAAATGCTTTTTAAAAGTGATTATGCGGTTTTTTTTGCTCATAATCTGTTTTTAAGTGTTTGCAAAATCAACTTTTGCTTCTCTTAAAATAATCTGCTTTAATCTATTTTTTTAAAAGCACCCATAACCCTGCTTTTTCAATTTTAGTTCATTTTTCGAAATATTTGCAAACACCCCCAACTTTTAGAAATAAGCACTTAAAACTAACTTAAATCACAATCACTAACTTCTGCTTTTAAATAATCATTTGCAAACACAACCTTAAGTTAGTTTTAAGTGCTTATTTCTTAAAGTTGAGGGTGTTTGCATATATTCCGGAAAATGAACTAAACTTGAAAAAACAGGGTTATGGATGCTTTAAAAAAAATTAGCTTCAAACAGATTATTTTAAGAAGAGCAAAAGCAAAAGTTAATTTTGCAAACAACCGAAAAGAAAACAAATTATGAGCAAAAAAAAAAGCACATAATCACTTTCAAAAAGCATTCGCAAACACCAACAGAATATCAAGTAGCCCTCAATCACCTTCCACTTCCATTGTACAGGACCCAAAATCTCATTCACCGTACCACTTAAATCACAAAAAAAACTACTTGCAAACGGTATTTTTCTTAGGTTGCCCTATATCGTGTTATTCTGTGATTTACCATTGATTCTACTACTAACAGCCTTCAGGTTAAATTACAAATTATGATATTTTGAGTAGTAATTAAATAATTTTCTATTAGTAAAGCTAGATTTCTGTTCTCTCTTCAATTTTGTTCGTCTTCTGATGAGTACTTTAAATCCATTTTATTCTTGAAGAGAAGCGATAAAAGTTGTGCGGGATAAACAAAGGTCGGATTGCAATAATATCTTGCTGATTTTGTTACCATGTAAGAGATATTAATTCATTCAGTTCCCGTTGCTTTCAGGAATTCTCATGGGTATTTCATTTCAATTTCTATCTCACTTTATCTTATTTATTTGTTAAATAATTTAAATAATTTTGTTTATTCAATGCGCTGTAATTGTTTATGGAAGACAAGTAAATCTCATTTACTGTAGTTTTCGTTTACATGGATATGAGATATGTAAGCTGCTGTTATGTGCCTTTGCTCTACAAATCTGGCTATTATTGATTCTATGTTATTTTTGTTTTCCTGCTTTTGTGAAAACCAACTTTGAATATCTTATGTTCTCTTCTTTTTAACCCTTTCTTGAAACATAAAAAATTTGCATTCACAGGCATATTTTACCAGAGAGAAATATATAATTTATAAGAAACTATGCCAATAGACAGGATTGGAAAGGGTTTAATTTATATGGATGTTTGTTGATTTATATTTCTTCCATCGGTCGGTTTTGTTATTAGAATATGCATCATAATGTAGATAGGAGAACAATCGAGCTGTTTTGTTTCGTATTAGAATAATCAATTTTTAACTTCATTCAATTCCGCAATGTTTTTTTTTTTCACTCATGTATTCGATAGTCGCATAACAACAAAGTTTTCCGACTAAAATGTTTTTCTTTTTGTTTTTTGTTTCAGAAAATGATTGGATTTTTCATAGTGTAGATTTTCGTTCATAAAACATTATTTGTCTTTTCAAGATGTATTGCAAGGAAAAATGAAGTACTCTTTAAGCATTTGTGATGGCAAGGTCATTCTCGCCTGCTCCGATCCATCTGACCCTGAAATAGTTACATTTTTTTCCGTTGGAAATGGAATTGTAATTATTGAAATCTTGATTTTTGATTTCAACAGTGGATTGAAGTTGACAAGTTCATCACCAATGTGAAGGAGAAAGAGAGAGACGGTTTCTCAGTTATTGCTTTGGCTTTGGTTAAGAAATCAATTGGACAGGTAATGAAGCAGTCCATTATTTAGAGCCACTTATCGTACAGTACTTATAAAAATAAGTACTTGATTAACATTTATTTAGCTTATTATTATATTAAAAAAAAAAAGATTAATCTCGGTGAGATTAATAATTATTCAAACAAAGCATGAATTTTTTTGTTCCTAAAGCTCAATGATGGTAAGTTTTTCTAAAGCTTGACAATTACCATGTACAAAAAAGTATGTTGGGGACATAGTGTTCGTAAGTAAAAGATTTAAAATCAATAAATTTTCATATAGTAAATAATTTATTTATTTTACCAGTATCATAACACTTCTCTCATTCCAATTTGGTCTTAATATTCTCTTGAATGTACTCATTTGGTCTGGTGTTCTTTTGGCAGGTCTCAACTGTCTGATTCATTTTGCCTATGTTTTTTTTGGAAGGGCTCAACACTCTTTTGCTCCTTTGCTACAACAATACGGCGTAAGTACTTATTCTATTTATAATTTTTATCTTGGTAAAAAAACAAAAGTTTTCCAAAAAATCTATCAAGTTTATATAATCTTAATTTTAACATCTAATGTTTTAAAATTTTAAAACACTGAATATATTTTTGATTTAGTGGGTAGTTTTTTTCTGAACGTTTTATCTTTTTTCTACTAATAACCTAAATATTGGTTAGTTATAAGAGAGTTTCTCTACAGATAATGGATGATTTTTTAACATGAAAACCATAAGCATAATTGCTTTAGTTCATAGTTGTTTCTGGAATTTTGATTATATTCTTCTATCAACTTATATAGTGAGTATATATGGAAGTATTTTTCCTACTGATAGTTAAAGTGGGTGGTTTTTTTAACATGAACCATAAGGTCCATAACCATAACCAATTTAGTTGGGTTTTTTTTTTTCCCGGAAGTTTTATCATATTCTACTATTTAAGTGATTTTGTTTCTAACTCCAAATTTTAAAAATATTGTTAATATTGTCCGTAGGCGAGTTGTAGAAAATTATTATCAACGTCATTTTTATGTGGATTGTTTTCGGTTACAGTGGTTTAAACGAAGTCTACACCATAGAGATGATCTTAATGGATGAGAAGGTTGTTCCTAATGGTTTGATTCAATACATGCACTGAATAGTTATACGTTGAAGTTATACTTCTCTTATATTTTTTTCCTCTTTTTTATGTTTATTATAATGAGAAAATTTTGATATATTTCATATTTCTAATGCACATGTTCTCAGTATTATAATATTTGTTTTATGAAAGCCATGTTAAATACTTTAACATTTCTTTTATTGTTTTTTCAGAGTTTTATTTTATATAATAATGATGCGACTCTTTGAAGTAAATCATTGAAATAGATACCCGGACATGTTTTTGATACATACAATTTGTTAGATGATGGAGCTACTCATATATCTAGCCTCATGTTATTGAAGGTCAAAATTTCATAAGAAATGAATTGGCATGCATGATATTATATTATTTGTTTTATGATTGCGAATATGATGATTTTATTTCGTACCTAGACATTAGTAATTTCTTAAAATAGGTATATTGTGATTGTAACACATGTTGTAACCAGTTTTCATGTGTACCTTCGAATATTGGTTTATAGTTGAAGGAGGTAAGTGTTACACACCCAGCAGCTGAAGGGAAAATGTGCATTTAATCCATTTTGTCCCAAATATGCTTGAAGTATTGTTCGTTGCTAAGTAATTTGCTATGTTCCATTTTTTTTTTTTGATACTTCTATAGTATTTAATTTCTTTAATTTATTGTTTGGAGTTTACACATGTTACGGGTATGTGTCTCCTGATATTTGTGTTATTGTGTAGATATTTTATAGATAACGAATATTTTATAATTTTTTTCAAGTATGTAGAGTTTTGATCCATATTTACGTCAAATATTATCTTCCATTTTATATATGATGTGCGTTATGTTTTCAATAATTACTACCTCATCATTTTCATATCATATATTTAAAGTATCTTTTTATTCATATTTGAAAAAAAATCCACCGTGCAACGCACGGGACAAGATACTAGGCATAATTAGTTTATGTTTTTGTTTTTTGCTCTACTCTGTTTTTCTTTCTTTTTTTTTGGGGGTTTCTCTTCCTCTTTTTTTATTTTATTTTATTTTATTTTATTATTTTAGCCTTTAGATGGTTGGGTTAGGAAGCAAGAAGTATTGAACAAAGGACGGTTGCAGCAAATTAGCACATAGCATAACATTACAAGAAAAGAAATCGAAGCTGGGTGGCAATCATTATGGAATTTGTGCTGCGATTTCCGCATCTAAATGTTATTCCTCGTATGCCATGGCTTTCTCACCCTTCGAAGACAAAGAAGAACCGAATATTCAATACAATGGAAGACGATAACCGTCATACCCAATCCGCTATGGAGCGTGCTTCTCTTCGTTACCGGGAGACTCTTCGTCCTGGTATCTATGCTCATCAACATACTTACTTCCCATTTTCACTTGTTATTTTCATTCAGACATTTCTTCAATCACCTACGTGTAATAAGTTCCCAGAGTGCTTTGCTTCTGTTGTATTTTCTCAGTGGATACTAACTTCTTGTTCTATGAGGACCCATTACGGTGTTGTTTCGTTCCATTATAGATACTACATTCTTTTCATATTTACTTTTCATGATTTCAATGAGCTGCCAACAACTATATCTGCAAAATCTCAATTTTCTTAAGCTTATGAACGAAATGTCTGATTGTAGGATTTTGTTTGCATTAAAATGCAATTTGAAAAAGTGTTTGATAGTTATAATTTGGATTTGGCAGATCCTGTATTGACAGACCCATACATCAGATGCCTTGTACCAACTGATATTCAAATCGATGTGGATCTTGATTTGCAAAAGCACTGTCTTGCAACCAAGTTCATTGATGATAAATTGCTTAGCACAATAGACAAAATCGATGGGCTAAGGCAGGTTGATTTTGTTTCCACACCAAAAAAGCCAAAAAGTGTTGCTTTTGTTTCGACAAGTTTTGAAGTTTGTTGTGTCTTTATTTGTTGTAGGTTGTTTTATTGACAGATGGCATGGACACTCGTCCTTACAGGATTAATTGGCCGCCGTCAACCATTATATTTGATGTCTCTCCAGATATAACATTCCGAAGATCGACTCAAAATCTTCAAGGTTTGTAATCTACTACTTGTGTGTGTAAAGATGTTAATATTATTTAAAACCGTTCAAGAGAATAAGATTCATCGCAGTGCTTCTCTTGGTCGTTAAAAGTACGAGCAACATTTATATATTGGCCAATGCCATGTATCACAAGCTCTAATGGTGGCTTGACTGAATTTTGTTTTATATAGGACGAAAGCTTCAATTTGTATATTGGTATTTGTTTGATAAGAAATAGATTATGTGCTAACTGTACGTTTTGGGGGAAACAAATAGATGTAGGGGCTAAAATTCGAAGAAGCTGCTTGTTACTTCATGTACCATCTGAAACATCTGATATTGAACAAGTCCTATGCAGTAAAGGGTATAATGGTGCCAGACCTAGTTTTTGGGTTTTCCAGGTGATTATATAACCTAATTTTTACGACTTAGGCGCTAAATCTGGAGGTCAATGCAAATTGTGATTTATGTTACATTTATGTTGCAGGGACTTCCACTACAGACTTTGGGTAATTTTAAAGATATTTTGAGACTTGTAAGTAATTTAGCCATGAAGGGATCTTTGTTCGTCGGAGAACTTCCTAGTTCGTTTTTCGAAACTGACAAGGTTAGTTTAGTAGCAGCAAGCTCTAATTGATGTTTCTCTCTCTTACATAATAAATATGATATAGAGGAATGTTTGTTTGTTTGAATTAATGATACAGAGCACGAAAATGGAATGGATGGACAAGATTTTCACGAGCCACGGTCTAAAGGTGAAGATGATAGAGTATGATGAAGTTGCTAGAAACCTTGGGAAACAAGAATCAATACCCCATTGCCAAGAAAATGTACTTTTTGTTGCCGAGCAGCTGCAGTTTTCCGATGTTCAGGTTAGGAATATTCGACTTTTCTTTTGTTTGATTTTCTTAGTCGAGAATAAGACGTTGTTTAATTCCTTGCAGATGGAAATATGGAGGAGAGAGTTTGAGAGGATTGAAGAAGGAGATGAAGAAGGGTTTGAGGAGCTGTGATTTTTCTCCTAACTAAGTACCACACTTGATACTTTCATATTTTTGTTGTAAGCAATTAATATCTACCTACTAAGATTATACAGTACAAATTTCATACTTATTTTATTACTGTATGTCTACTTGTAGATTCACTGATTAAATTGTTTTATCACCCCAATAAGATTAATCACATTGATTTCTTAAAACTTTAATCAAATATTATATATTATTGAGTTAATTTTAGAAATTAGTAGTTGCATATTTGAATTGGTGGTATGAATTTTTGACATTATATATTTTTAAGACTAAAGTAGTTGCAATAACCAACAAAATAAAGAAGGCTCAAATCAATTAATTTGTTTGTGCCAAATTAAAACATTGTTTGCATAGAGATTGTACATCAACACTAGATTATTTTGTTAGGGCATCTCCTGTGTGTTGGGGGAGGGGTGGGGGGGAAGGGCTGATATGTTTAAGAGTAATAATATACGCATGTCAAATTAAATATTCAGGCACTCTTATACCATGATTTTTTACATTTTTACCATAACTATTTACCTTTTGTACTATTCCTACCCAATCCTATAAAATATAAAATTCAACATTCAAAGTGAAAAAATTTAGATATTTAACAATTTTTGCGATGGATCCAAACAACTTAGACCCGAATGTACGTTTTTTCGTTTTTTCCCACAACCTTATCTGCTCGTGTGAATTTACGCGAGCACTTGGCAAGTGCTCGTGTAAATTCACACGAGGAGATGAATTTTTATTTATTCATGTGCTCGTGTGAATTGACACGAGCACTTGCCATGTCCTCGGCCGAATTCACACGAGCACATTAACAATTTTTTTTTTAATATTCTCTCGTGCGATTTTACACGAACAGGTGGCACCTGCTCGTTTAAAATCACACGAGCTATTTAATTTTTTTTAAAAAAATTCTAAAAAAAATTTGTTTTTTTTTTAACCCACTCGTGTGATTTCACACGAACAGAGAAGGTATGCTCGTGTGAAATCACACGAGCAGAACGTCTCTGTTCGTGTGAAATCACACGAGCAACACAATTTTTTAATTTTTTTTTTTTGAGTTTTATTCTTTAGTTTTATAATTTGCTAACTACATTAATATAAAATAGGAAGTATACATAGATGTGGATGAATTTAGATATTGAAACATTCGAGCTACATGATTACAGTGAATTTTTTACAATTTCGACTGCATTTGATAGTAAAGATGCACTAGTCGAGTGGGCGATGAATATGGCCATCAGTCAAGGACATGAGATTAGGCGACAGTCTTACCACGAGGGCCGACAATATTTGACTTGTAAAAGAGCCTATAAGAGACGAGGAAAAAATGCAGAGGTCAAAACAAGCCGGAAGTCCGGTTCAATAAAGTGTAAATGCCCTTTTGCGCTATGGGGTAAAGAGGGTCGTGATGGATTATGGCGCCTTACCATCAAAGATGGCAATCACAATCATTTTCCTCATAAATATCCACAAGGACTACGTTCGCTAAGTCGCCTGAGTGAAGAGCAACGAGAAGTGACAAAGATACTGAAAAAGAGCCATGTGAAGCCGAAGGAAATTTTGCATCATCTGAGAGAGATGAATCCGGATACGGCTGCGGCCTTGAGAGATGTGTACAATGAATCACAGAGAATTAGACGAGAGGAAATGAAAGGAAAAACAGTTATACAACATCTGTGGCACGAACTAAGTGAGAGTGGATACATCAAATGGCATCGAACAAATCTAGCTGGTGATGCAGTGCAAGACGTTATGTTTGCGCACCCTGATTCAATAAAGCTTTTGCAGTTATTTCTAAACGTCATCCTGATAGATTGCACGTACAAGACTAACATGTAATAATTATTTAAATGTGAATTACATTTATTATATTATATATATATATATATATATATATATATATATATATATATATATATAAGAGTTGACTAAATTATAATTACCTTCATGTAGATATGAAATGCCTCTTTTGGAGATCATTGGGGTTACTCCCGTGGGAAGGAACTTCACTTTTGCCGTTGCTTTTATGTCACGTGAAGATGAGGACACTTATGCATGGACATTGCGATGTTTGCGAGACATATTACCAATCGGGATAGAACCAGAAGTGATACTGACAGATCGTGAGTTGGGCCTACTGAAAGCATTGCCAAACGTGTTTCCACATTCGCATCACATGTTATGTTTATATCACATAAACAGAAACGTTGAGGCAAACGCATCCACAGAGACTGTTCATCCCACCGCGGGTGGCAATACCCAATTGGCGGTACATGTTTGCTAAGCATGCCGAAGCCCACGAATACTTGCCGACATTATCGAGATCGTTGGTAAAATGGATCCACCACGGCTTCATGTTACACGCTGTTTTGTCTACAAACAAAACAGACCCAAGCAGAAACATCAAGTAGCCCTTCATCTTCTTCTCGTCTGTGGTGGAGGGAAGGGTCAACTGATCTCTCACCTTAACCCAACCAACTCCCTTGTTTCGAAACATCTCATTGGTGTCCATCAGACCGACACCCAATAGAGATGCAAGACTCTGTGAGCACTCTTCTACCGGGCGAATTTCAGACACTGGCGGTCCGTCCAGCCGCAACGCCAGGATGAAAGCGACATCGTGGAGCGTGATCGTCATCTCGCCCCATGGCATGTGGAAACTGTTCGTCTCCGGCTGCCACCTGTCCACGAAAGCTAGCATGAGGTTCTTGTTCATCCTCTTTAGAAAACAGTCTTGTAAGTGGTAAAGACCTGTTGCCTCCAGCCTCGCAATCATCGTGTTATCGTGCGGGCCGCGGTAGTCCTCGAGTGCTTTGCTCCTCGACTCGCACCGTGTAGTTTCACGGCGCTCCTGAAAAATATTGCATGTATTGTTAGCTAAAAAAAATGAATAATATAAGAATTATGTAAAGCACGTGTTGACAGAAAACTTACATATCCTTCCCAAATGTACATCGCTATATGCGACTTGAACCATCGCATAAACTCGTAATTTTGTAGCCCTCCCTCGCACGGACCCTCCAAGTACGCCGGACCAGGCAGCTGCGGAAAGGGTAAGGCACGACCAACTCTACGACCCTGATATACATCTAGCTCATCATCTTCCTCCGTCTCCTCGTCAGTATCCACATTATCGGGATTGTTGTTGTGGTCATCATCGTCGTCGGCATGTGGCAATGTACTACGAGCTAGCTGGAGGTCGCGTGTAGGTCCACAGGGTCCGGCTCCAGCTGCAACAGCTTCTCGTCTCAGTCTCTCTTCTTCCCGCTGTAACGCTGCTTCTCAAGCTAACTGCTTTCTTCTACGGGAAGAAGCAAGGACATCTCGGTCTCCAATGCGATCCGGATCTTCCGGATTGTTCCCCTTCCCGCTCAAGGCTTTTCATTAAGCTCTTGCCTTTACCGACAACTTGACTCATAAGACTTTTCCCCCGGCCTCCTGCCATCTACAATTGAAAATAAGCACTTTATTAATATTTCATATAATAAAAAAAAAGCATTTAAATAATGAAATGAAAAAAAAAAAAAATTAAATTGTTGTGCTCGTGCAAAAACATGCGAGCATTTCAACAGTGCTCGGCAGATTTCACACGAGCACTGTTGAAATGCTCGCATGTCTTTGCACGAGCATCTTATAATTCAAAAAAAAAATTTCTAGAAAAAAATAAAAAAAAATAAAAAATAAAAAATGCTCGTGTAAAAACACGCGAGCGGTTGAAAAGCGTTCGTGTGAAATCACACGAGCCCTTTTCACCCGCTCGTGTGTTTTTACACGAGCAATTAAAAAAAAATATATGAAATGGCCTGCTCGTGTGGATTTAGAGGAGCGCAGTGGATGCGCTCGTGTAAATTCACACGAGCAGGCCAAAGTCCGATTTTTTTCGTTTTTTTTTTCTGATTCATAATCTACATAACAAGAGGATCGTAAAAACGTAAAAATTACCTCCGATCTGTTGACGATTTGCACGGGCTTTGCGAAAGAAAATCGAAAGGTTGAGAGAGTTTTTGAGTTTTTTCACTTTTTGTTTTTTGAAGAATGGTAAAAAATGTGCCTGACTGTTTAATATGTGCCTGCACAAATCATTTCAGTATGATTAATGGGGGCTGGGGTGGGGGGTTGGGGTGGCTGGGGGTGTCATTTGAGCCCAGGGAGAAGCCCTGGGCTCTCACTATCCGGTGTCTCACCTTTCACGTATGAGATTTTTGTTCCATTTTTTTTTTCTTTCTTCCACATTAGTATTTTCTTTTTTATTTTTTTCTTTTGTTTTTTTGTATATTTTCTTTATTTATTTTAATTTATTTTTAATTCTTTTTTTTTCCTTTTTTGTTTCTTTCTTTTTTCTTTATTTATTTTCATTTTATTATTAATTTCTTTTATTTTACTTTAGTTTTCTCGTTTTTTTTCTCTAATTCGATCGTTGTAATTTAAAATAGTAATTTTATTGTAAATATTCTATCAATATTATTATTATTATTATTATTATTATTATTATTATTATTATTATTATTATATGGTGAGAGTGGTGTTGGAAAAAATTAGAAGAAAGAGATTGGTCGGCTGGACGAATGATGGGTTGGGGTCGGGGTCGGGAGAGCCCGGGGGAGCTGCCCCATCGACAGGAGATGCCCTTATGTTGTTGATCTCTCAAAGTGGGAGTGTAATCACAAACTTAGTTTAATTCCCTAGTCTCAAAAAGCACAAGCAGAGGAAGAAGCAACAACAATTTCTGAATGACTACTCTATAATAGCATTATAATAAGTACAAACAAGAAAGAAAAAAGAAAAAGAAAAAAAAAAAAACAGAAAAGGAATAAAAGAAGAAGATGAAAATCCAACAGACCCTGAGCTAAAGCAGCTAAATGGAGGAAACATAATTATGGTCGAAATTAGAACAGTTCGGGCAAACATAAAAGTTAATAATGGGGAAATCAGCAGATGCAATACCCACTGAAAATTCAAGATTTTCACCACTTGTCTTCTTGACCTCCACAATGTTTAGCCATACAAAATACAGTTTGACGCTCACCCCAGATAAATTAGTCAACTTGTCTTTATAGATGTACCCGCTGATTTCGGGTTTGTACTTCAATTCATACGAACCTTCCAAAGAGAAACTGCACGAACCGTTTAAATATGCATTGAATTTGCCGGAACAAGTATCAAGATCGTAATGTGTTACCCCTTTTGGGAGAATCCCTACTGGAAATCCGTACGATTCGATTGCTTCGTACGCCGTGGGAGCGGTGGTGGTAGTGGCGGTGACGGTGGCGGAGAGAAAGAAAACAAATAGGATGAAGAAGGCGGTGGTGGTATTTCGGAAATTCCGAGCCATTCTTGTGGTGCGTGCGGTGGGTTCTGGATTCAATTTTGTGTGTGTAATTTGGTAGTAGGTTTAATAATTTGTTTGTTTAGAGTTTAATAAACAGACGGCAACAATAGGTCGGTGGGTTGAATTTGAGACAATCTCAAATTTTGTAATCCTTATCCAAATATTTTTACACTTGATATTCCTCCCGCTTTTGTTTTCTTCGATCTCCTTTAATTTTTTATTTTATTTTTTCCACCATTCACAAACATATAACATTGTATCATTGGATTTCTCTTCTGGGTAAATTAAAATGTTAGATATCACAAAAATTAAATATTTAAAAAAAAAATTAAATATCAGTCAAAGTCATGGAAAACGAATTAAACAATAAATAAGGATAATATTCACAAATCTTCTCCTATTAGTAGGGGATAAAATTGCTAATGTTATTATCTCTGCTATTCATTTATCTTTTTTTTTGTAGAACACAACTTGAATCGAATCAAGAGAAAGAAAAGGTCCAAAAAGAAATATAAAAAAGAGGAGTTAAGCTATTATTAAGAGGAAGATTACAGCAACCATACATTAAAATAACTTATATCTCCTAAAATCATGGTTGTGATTAGCAAGCAGATATCACTACTAATTAATAATCAGAAGCTAATTAAAGTAGTAATTAATCCAAAATAAAGGTGAAGGGCTTGCTGAATTAATTAATATATATCCCAGCGGATCGGAGCGGCTAATAATACTAATTAATAGTAGTCTTGGCAAGGACATTGCTACTACTGAGTGAATAGAATACACAGTCAAATCCACAACCACATTGTGGGCTCTCGTAAAAATTATCAACGGGGAAAGTGGCGGAAGCAATACCAACGGAAAGATCTAGTTCATCATCATCCCTAGTGACCTCAATAATATTAACCCAGAACAAAAGAACCTTCACTTGAATACCGCTCAGATTCTTAATCTTGTCTTTTGAAATGGTGCCACTTATTTTGGTCTTGTACTTGAGGTCGTACCCATCTATTGTCAGGCTGCAGCTCTTGTTTAACTTCACACTGAACTTGCCGCTGCTCTCCTCAACCTCGTAGCTCGTCACTCCTATCGGCAGCAGCCCTTGTGGGAAATCGTACGATTCCAGAACTTGGTAAACACTCCTCGTCGTTGAATTTGAATCGCCGATGATAAAGGCAACGGAGATTATTAGGAGGATGCATTTCGTTGAACCCATATTAATAATGATTTCGATGCTTGTGATTGTTTATTATATAGTATAGACTATAAATAGAGGCCTAGGGTTTGATTTTTGTTCTTTCTTTTTTATTGATAATAACAAAGTAAAGTTTTGGAACTTGGGAATATAATAGATAGGTAGATTTTTGAGATAATCTTTGATAATTAACATAGTAGTGGTTGGTTGGTGTAGAATTTCCAAAGGATGGATTAGGTGAGTTTTGTGGTCTTAAAGTGCCGACTGGTAGTTGTAGCTTCTACTATTTAATTTCTACTGTAATTAATGGAGTACTATTTGGCATTATATTTCTTATTGAGTTAATAATAGGGTAATTTTTTTGTAAAAAATATATATATAAAGCTAATTAGACGGAGTAAATGAACACGACAAAAAAATCCAAAGTTTGGTTGGAAGAGCCAAAGTGCAAAAGGCAAAATAAACATTTCTATCACTATAAACTGCCAATTTACTATTTTCCATTTATTTATAACATGATTTAAATTAACAAAAGAAAAGAAAACAAGTGCCCTAAAAAACTTTGTCTATGTGTTTTTCATTTTTAAATTGGCCATCAATAATCCAAAATTGAATCGAAACCTGTCACCATAAGAATGGAAGAAGTTGTAAAAAAAGAAAAAGGAATGGAGGTTGTAAGTTGCTATTGAACACAAGGTTTTACAAAGAAATAACACAAAACCAAGAAATAATTCCAGAGAAGATGCATCCTTGCGTGAAGTAATTGGGTGGAAATGTTTGAATTTAAGAAAATAAATTGATAGATTAATTCAAATAACTCTGGACTGGATGATACAAAATTAACACAAAGTAACAAGTAAGGATATGAATTCATTGTACAATTGAACTTGAACCCATCTATGCAAGTTTAATATATTTATTATTATGAATTTGAAATTCCCCCACCTCCAAACAAAGATGAGTATTTTTATCATTCAAATAATTCCATGTAAATATAATATTTCTTCTCCATCCCACAAATAAAATAACATTATCAAAAAACTAAAAAGGAAGAGGGCAATAACAATCTACAATTACCCTACAAATTTGTTCATAGAAGCTGCGTGCCTCAGCATATACATTTTATATCCATCGAGACCATCTTCAAACTCGTCACTCATAACCGGTTCAACCAAAACAAACCAGACTCAACACAACATTTTCATCAATTTACCATTTGAAGATCCAAAATAATGTATCAACAAAGACATGCCCTCAAGAATTATGAAATACAAAGTAGACAAATTAAATTCATACATACAAGAATGATTTCCAATTCTTCCACTTGAAACAACTATGCAATAATAGCCACAATTATTAGAAATCAAGAATCTCTAGAGAATTAACACAAGAACAAAAAATGAAAAGGCAAATACAAGGAAAACATACAGTTTTGAGCGATTTCAGTTCATCTCCTTGAGTCTTTTTATCAATGTGTCTAGAGACTTCTTCTTCGGGTTTTGCTTAGCACCTCTAGTTCCAAAAGAACCAAACAACCGATCCGATTGATCCCTCAATTTCTCAGAAATGGCAACCACTTTCCTGTAGTCCAGTGCATAGTAACTCCTCTCCCTGATAACTGGATTCAAAAAGTTCTCCGGGTGATTACTCAGAAGCAAATTAACCATTTGCCTCGACTCAAGCAGACCCGTTTTCAATTGATTTGCATCTGCCTCAGACAAAAGAGGAGATTGGCTCTCTGCAAATGCTTCCAACAGCCTAACATCAACATCGAACCCCATAATAGAGTTGACGTTGAACCTTTTAACAGACTCCGCCAATAGAGCACCAACAATCATCTCCGATATATGAGCAAGAACTTCTTGCAAAACCCGCTTCAAAACCTGAACAGGCAAAACCTGCTGTGCAGTTGAAACCAAAGTTTCGAGGAAAATAATCACCTCGTTCGAATATTCATTCCCACCCTGTGGAGGTTCATCAGCCATCCAATTCACATTTTCAATCAATGTAAGGAAACCATCAACTTTTTGCTTCAACAAACCAGAAAGCATCTCTTCAGCTGCATCACGGGCTTTTATCAATGGAAACTGCCTCCTCCCTCTCTCAACTATCCTCAAAGGAATACCCGACAGCTGTGCAGCATGACGAAAGAAGAAATCACAAGCCCGCTCAAAAACTGCCATATTTGCTGCCATCTGCATAGCTTGGGTAACCCCACTTAACGAACCGTTAATAACTTTCAGCAAAGCCCCATCCAAGACCTCAATCAACAGCCTGTCCAAGTACTTTTTAACCACATCGTAAAACTCAAGCTGCCCACCGTATGACATGAAACTCACAGAATCCTCGATAAAGGACCGAACAATTCTACAGCAATCAGGAACTGTAGACGAAAAAGGAGCAACGTAAGGGAATGCGGGCATGATGTTCGAAGTTTGTATCTGAAACGAAAGAACATTCATCGAATATTCGTACTCCTTCTTCATATACATCTGCTCAAACTTATCAGCAGAAAGAGCCTCAGCGACCTGCTTACGGCAATCGGACAACAACAATTCGTGATACTTATCCCTATGCTTGCTCAAAACATCAAGCAAAGCGTCAATTGGATAACCAAATCTACGCAATGTGACACCAAGCAAACTCACATAATCCTTAATCAACAACAAATGATTCGCAGTTTGCATTCTTGAAAATTGGTCCTCCAAAACAGAACACATCTTGCTCACAGCAGTATCCCACAGATTCTCCACTTCAATCTTTGAAATTAACCCTCCACCAGTCCTCAAAACCCGATCCTCCACTATAAAAAACCCGGCAATTTGTGCGAAAAATGTCTGGTGAGACTCGAGAAACGGAGTCATTGAGGATACTTGGAAATCAGAAGTCAACTGCAACTTCCTATTCTCAAAATAATACTGCTTAAACCTGTCCTGAAGCCCTAGAGTCTGATGTATATGATAAGCCCTGTACAAAGGAGTCAAGTCAAACCCTGAAATTCCATTTCCATTACCGCCGTTACTTCCATCAACAACTCCGTCAATCTCATCGTCATCTTCTTCTTCTAAAGCATAAACACAATCCCTCAAGCTAAGACGGCTTTGCTCCTCGGCTTGGCGCTGCTTGATACGAAGCTCTTCTTCTCTCTGACGCGCAGCCGATGCTTGACCGATGGCTAGCTGACCTAGATTTCGGCTAACAGTACGGATCTCCACAAGCCAATCCCCAAACTCTTTACTAACCTTTCTCTCAATGTGAACCCTAATCGAGGGGATCTGCTTCTCCAACATCCTTTTAAGAGTAGACGACGGCGTTTCGTGAAAATTAGATTCGATGGAGTCCAAGGATTTCAAGGCCATGTAAAAGTTGTTTTGGGAGAGATGGAAATTGGCACGGGCGCAGAGCTCCATGATCTGAACGCAGGTGTTGAGGGAATGAATAGCGAGAGCGATGTTGGAACACTTAGTTTTGGCTTCAACGAAGGCGTCGAGGGAGGTGAGGAGTGGTACGGCGACGTTTTGAAGCTTGGAGTTGGAGTTGGAAAGAGAAGATTTGAGTGAATCGACATCGGATAAGAGGGATCGGAGATCATCTACGGCCATGATGAAGTCCTGGTAGTGAGCACGGCAGACATCTTCGATCTCCGATTCTTTCGATTTTGAGAAGTGTTTCAGGTGCTGGAGCAAGGTTTCCGGTTTCCCTGAGGCGAAAACTTTCCGAACGAAGGACCCGAGATCTTCGCCGTTGCAGATTGCCGAGGAGAGGAGGAGCAGCTCTTGTTTTTCGGCACTGTCGCCGTTATCGGAAGCCGACGGAACAATTTTCCGACGGGACTTTGTTGAGTTCATTGCCGATTGCGGCTGAGATTTTCTAATTTGGTATTATTGTTCAGACAGTAACCGTTCACGACGGGCGGCGTTGAATGAGGAGGGGATTTAGAGAAAATGTTGTATTAGTTGACACTTTATATATTATTTTGTGGAAGCCGCGTTACATAATTAGATCTCTTTTTTAAATTATTTTTGTTCCATATTATCTCATTATATAATTATTTTACATTTATAATATCACATTAATTGTATAATTATTAATTTTATCCTTATTAACTATCTCCAACACTCTCTCACATTAATTATTGGTAAGGGCATTTTAGTATAAGAATATATATTTTTCTAAAATTAAGCAACATTTATTAAGATTCTTAATCCTTGTGCACAAGATAAAAACGACAATTAAAAAAGAACGAAGGGAGTATTCTTTTTCTTTGTATAAATATTAAAACGCCACCGAAATTAGGAACATAATAAGTGACATTTCTTTACCAAAATGTTCTACCAAGTGGGTACCCTATCGAGCTCGAGCCTTATAGAATTTCTATGGGAATTTCAATGCCAAACGGACATGGCTCATTACACTACCGTGCCGAATTATTTTGGCAGAGTAACAATAATCAATTTTATTATGACATTATTACCTATCATACCGAAATATTAATAAATAAAAATTATTTTTTTATTCAAAAAAAATAATTTTGATGTGAAGGGATGGAGGTTCATGGGAAGCATCTTATCAGATAATTTAAATGTCTTCATGTTTTAAAAACTTTTTACTTCAATTTTTTAACATTAGCACTTTGGTCAGAATTTTTGTATCAAACATTTACATGCAATTGTCAATGAAGACATATAATGGTTTAATATTATTAATGAATGTAGACATTTTGAAAATTCATTTGCTTCTAAGAGCAATTCAATTTTCGGTAATAGTTATTACCTATTGTAATGCATCGAAATTTCGATATGTCGAAATATTTGGTAGTGGATTGTTATTGAACTCCATAATTTAGAAAGTTTAATAATGCTAGTGGTAAAAGGATTATGGTAGGGAAACCCTACCAAACCCATCGTTAAGTAACAAGACATGACCCCCGAGCGGAACCGACGGATGTGGTGTGGATCGCTTCAATTCGACGGTTCACGGGCCGATTTGAACGATCTTATTTATGTTATTGATTTTTGAATTTTGATAATTCAATTTTTTTTTTTAATTAGACGGTTCAAATATTTAGTTGACCATTTACGCGTCGACCCGCTAATTCAAGCAACGAACATATAATGTGGGTAGTTGATGATCAACAATCAACATGTCTTGACGAAAATTAAAAAGATAGTCATTAACTAACTGCAGACCAAGCTACTGAGTCGGAATTGTTGGCTTGATAGGTTGGAAAACCCCATATTTAACCGATCCGTATATACATGGTTGATCACATTTTTCGTTTGGGTTTCGATCCCAGTCCAATAGGTACCATATTCATGTCTAATATAAGATTGTATTAGTATTAATAGACAAATGCCTCCTGACTTGAAAATTTTGGAGATTAAATTTTAAATTAACAGTCTAAATAAATTTTTCATTAATTTAGATCTAAAATCAACGTTCAAAGTAAATTTGGGTTATATCAAAATCCGTAATAAATTTAGGCTTTACATATATATTAAGTGGGTTAACGAAAATATAAGTAAATTTCTATTTTTTGGAATAGCTATATGAGCTCAACTCTAACCCGAATAAATTATGTTGCAAGTATTCAAATCTATCGACCAACACTTCAAGTCAAGAAACTCAACTTAAGTCTATAAAAGGAGGTATCACACACTCACATACAAATACGTACACCAACCATCATAACCATTATGGAACAAAACTCTCAAACCTCGAGAGCTCACCCAACGAAGTATTGCAACCGCGGAGGTTCTACATCTGTATCAAATGCACCAAATCTACAAGACCTTGAAATCTTAAATCGATTTCAAGGTGGTCACACTTTCTTCCAAAAATCCCGGAGGAAATCACGTCTTCAATTAAAGAATAAGTTTCAACCCTTGAATTAAATTTAGGAGGATAATTATGAGGTTTATTCAAGGACTATAGCCCTTTTTATTTTAATAATATTATTTACGTGTCCTTATCATTTTTGTCTTTAATTATATTTTAGCAAAAATGATATTTGTCCCTTAGTTTCCATGTTATCAAGTCGGGCCCCATCAAGGCCTCCGTCGTCATTCTGCTATCATCGGCCTTCGAGTGGAAGATGGTCGTTAGAAACCGCCCAAATGTGATGGTGGTTCGATAGGACTTTGTTCAGTAGACGGAGGTGGTGAGATGTTACCTTCTGGCTAATTCTATGTCAAGTGATTTAAGTGTGAATCTCTATGGACGACGTTAATATGATGTTGCTCAGATACTAGTCACAAAGCTCTTGAATCTATAACCTCAGGTGAATCATTCACATGAATGCAATGGATCGGCATCACATGCTCGAGGTGGCTATGAAGTAGAAATTAACGCGTCAAGTAAAAACACACACATTCAAGTAGAATCCCTTGCAAAAATCTACAAACAATGCATAAGAAAATAAAAAGTACCAAGGTAGAACATACCTCAAATAAAGAATACATTCACATATTTATAGTTGAATTCAAAGTCTTTGGCCTTTGTTAGATTTCATAAGAAATCATATATAATAATTTTAATTAGGCCTATATATATATATATATATATATATATATATATATATATATATATATATATATATATATATATATATATATATATATATATATATATATCATCATTTTTCTGGGTAATGGAGAAACACACAAAATATTATATAGGTGCACCGTGTAAAATGTTTATTCTCATATAATAGTTTGCAAATTAGATCGATATAAATTAATTTAAGCATATGCTATGTGTTACAAGCTCGTTCTAGAAAACTTCGACACGAGATTTTCAAACTTAGGTAATTGGAACACTACACTTTCTTACTTCACCAAATAAGTCACCTCTTGTCAGGCCTGGACCAAAAGGCAGACAAACAAGACCTACGCCTTAGGCGTCCTAAAAATGTGATTTTCTAGGGACTTTCAAATTTAATATTTAATTTTACTATGTATTATATAATGTATAAAATTTTATTTATATTTAATTTTCCCTTCTTTCTTTAACTGTTTTTACATTTTTCGTGAAGTATATTTTTATAAGGGGCCTTCAATTTAATGTTTAATTTACTATATATTATTTAATGTTTTTTTATGAATAAGTCCCTGAACAATTATCTTTATTATTCTAGGTTCAGGGGTGATATATTTTTCACCAATAAGTCAATTCCTTTAGTATGTATTATAAATAAGGGGTCATTAGCAATAAACCCCTCATATAGCTAAGAAATGGTGATATGTTCATCCCTTAAATCTTCCTTTGTGATAACCCCTAGCATTATTTATTCCAATAATATCCTTCACTTACATAAATATACATTAATATTATTTGAATTGCATTTATTATTTTCGATTTTTTTTTATTTTTTAATATTTTTTTTCTATAAAAATATTTAAATTTTCTTTTCTCTGATTTTTTTTTGATAAGTTTACTACGTCGAATATAACTACCGTCGAATATATTTACCATGTGACTATTGTTATCTCTAGTCACATTTCTTCTTTATATTTACCATATTTGTAATGAACGAATATAAAACAACTTCAATCCACAACCACAATACATTCACACATAATCACATGCATTTCTTTAACAAAAACAATCATCAGTATCATTATACATCTAGAAAAACCTACAAAGCTTATATGACTATATATAACAATATATGTGACTATTTATATAACTACGTGAATATAAGGATATAGTCATAGAATTTTAATCATGTAATATGTCTGCATCAGTTGATAGTAAGTAACAAAAAATGTTGCTCAAAGGTGAAAACATACAAAGAAAACATCAAAAAATGGATAAAATGTAAACGGTTGATCAATACACATGCTAAGTTGGCAAAAAATAAGCAAATGGTGTGAAATATGCAATCAACACATTATATTACTATATGTGACTATGAGCACTATTGTTTGCAAAATATAGCAGGCGTAATTACGCAACTATACATGACTATTATGGCTCTATTATGGCATTATACAGTCAAAATTCATACAATCAAGTGGTACTTACACCCATATATTCCCAGATAAATAAAACAAAGTCAGAACAACATGAAACCCGAAAAAGTATAATCACAGAGTGTCAATGTATACAATCATGCTCTAGGATCGGAAATAACAAAAAAAATCACAAAAACCAATAAGATGCAGAATAATTGAAAATGAATATATGCATTCATAACAAACAAATAATAGAACTGAAAATTCAGATCCATAACGACTTCTATTGGTAGTTCGACAATTAATTCAAGAAAAAAATGACCAATTAATATTGTAAATATTACCAATTAAAATTTACCCAGTTGAATATGACTATAGTCAAAAAAATTATTGCAAAATTTCTTCATTGTATGTGCAAATCATTTTTTTATGTTTGTATTAAAGGGTTTTAAAATTTCTAACTATAACATTGCTTTATTATTATCTAATAGTTGAAAATTAAAATATTATACCTTTTTTAATTGGGCGAATGGCAAATAGGCCAATCACATGGGACTTAAATGCACATTGATCCCCAAAAAAAAAAAAAAAAAAAACAGTCTTTCAAATAAATTCATCTCCATGTCATTAGTCTAAAATACCCTCCATATCAATTCCATCCATTATGCTCTTACTTCCTTAATATTACACATTGACCCCAGATTTAAACAAATATATCACATTAACCCCCAAAATAATATTTTTTTTTTCAGAAATTTTTTTTTTCCGGCCAGATTCCGGCGTTGACCTTTTTTTTTTTTGAAAAATTTTTTTTTCTGAATTTTTTTTCCGACCGGTCAACTACCGTGTTGACTTTTTTTATTTTTTCGATTTTTTTTCTTAGAAACAAATATTTTAATTAATATTACTGTCTTGGCTACTAAATTACTGTCTCATATAGTAATATTGTTGTTTGGGATAGTAATATTATGAATATTATTTTTCC